TTTATGTAAAGTTTCTGCTCTGAGTTGTTTTTCTTCACTTTATTATGGGCCGTATGTACATCTCTAATGCCAGGTGTGTGCTAGGGAGGTGGCCCATCCATATTTGTCAAGACATGATTTGTGCGATCCACGGTGGAACGCAGCACCATTTTACCCTTCTCTTACACGAGTGGCTGGCCGTGGTCACGTGATCTTGTCTGCATTGCCCTGCCTCTGACACTGGGACACGTGGTCCGGAGCTGTCAGAGCAGACGCGGCAGGGGAGTGGGCGAGGTCCCGCCGCCTATTGGGCGCTAGGCGGCCCGCCTATGCTGTATATTAATGAGGCCGGCCGCGCTGCGCTGTTCTCTGCCGCTTTCCGGGCGGCCGCCATCTTGTTTTTGTGTTAGGCCGGAGCCGGGTGTGAGGAATCGGGGAAGTAATGCGGGGCGAGCCCTGGGGGGATTGGTAAGTACCTACTAATGGGGCGGGCGGCCTGACTATCGGGCGTTTCCAGGGTGTCTCTTTAAAGAGGGCCGGGTCACCCCTAGATCGGTGCCAGCCCGAGATCTCCTGACACCCTGAGTCATCAGTACCAGCCCAGTTGTCACTCCCGTGTATGCACGCAGCGGCTTCCCGTACAGGATGGTATGGTGTGTGGAGATTTATCCGATTAATGTTTATTGTATGCGGTGTATAATGGGCAGATTCTAATGTGTGTTGCCTGATCATTTTACTGCACTCACACTGCGGGAGGGAATAATGACATCTGCATTGTTGTGGACTGGACATTAATCTGAACATGGGCCATTCCCTCACTACATTGTATAGACATAGGGCAGCCTGATGGCAGGTCCATGTCATGGATGTGGATCTTTGTACAACGCCCAGCTCATTTATTGCATCATTCTTACAAAGTGCAGCACATTTCTACATCCAGAAATCACATTGATTTGTGCCGTCACTACGGGCAGCATTGCAGATTCTCCATCTGACTACAAGGTGTCGGTGATCAATGTGAGTGAAGTCAAAGTTTACATGGGGCCAGGAAGATGGACAGCGACTGGTGATGACATTGTGTCCTTTTTTTTTATCAATGAAGGGAGATGGATTAGTGAAGCTGCTTTTACTGTGTGTATACAATGTATCCAATGTATCCTGGACAGCACAGGGCGTCCCCGGCCTTCACCCTGGGTTCATTGTAACTATTCTTATATATACACTATGTATGAGACCCTCGGCTGAGGGCCCGCCATTGGCATTGAAGCTGTATTTTTTTTAATCACAGTCATTGTGAGTTTAATATCAGATTCCTGCCCTGGGCGTCTATGGTGCGAAGCTGACCCCACCCCAAGCTCAGATTACCACTTCCTGGTATGGATTAACCCCTCCATGGCTGGCTTGTGGCTCGAGGTCAAGGCTCGGGTTGTGTTGCAGGGAAGGGGATTTCCAGATGATAGCAGGTGGTACAAGCAGCATCACAGCTAAGACCTTCACTTTCTCATATGTTGGTGTAATCTCCTTTCCTAGAAACAGAAATTTAAGGCCCGCCTGTTCCTCTGCCCATTGACATTTGTTGGGCTTAATCACGGCTCCTAAAATGCAGCTTATTTGATCCCTAGGAATTCCTGTCAGCGTTGTAGTCTCAGACTTCATAGAGTGCCGTTTCTCATCAGCTGTAGGGACACTCGAGTTTGTTGGGTTGGGAAATCAGACTAGTTGGCACCACACTGTGTGTGGTTGACACCCTTGCTCACAGTACCCACTAGACTAGACTAAGCCTACATTTCAGGAACGCACATAATGTTCGTGCACTGCATTTGTCGTGTGTCCCCATTTAATTAATGGGGTCCTGAACACGCGGCAAAAAGGTAATGTAGCAGATTTTTCTACCTGTGTTCCTTGTTTTTGACTTCCGCGTTTGCATATTTTATTGCACGCAGGAGGCAAAACACGCATTTTCCTGGCCACGTTTGGGGTGCCATTGGAAAATAATGGCAATGCAAGTGTGTTTTGCAGCGTTTCTGCCAAAGCGCGTGTTTATGAAACGTGTATGTATGAATGTGGGCTTTCGGGGGAAAGTAAGGAGTTTTATTTTCAGTGTGATCAATGTGCTGGTCCTTTCAGCTGTCATTAGAGAATTGTGTAGGCTGCCATTGCTGACCTCTCTTGAGAATGCTCATTTGCTGGCTGTCGTTTAGTTTGGCTTCACTGCTTTCTTGAGTCTCTGATTTGCAAGCAGGATAGAGATCAGGAATTGTGACGCTGATTTACTGCCAAGCCCGGTCCAGTTTTCTGTCAAAGGATGAAGCCAGATGCAACCAGGCAGATAGATCTTTCAGGAGCAGACCCTGCCACTGTAGTCTCTATTTCATAAGAAGTATATTAGGGCACAGTCGGGATAGTGGAATGTGTGCGCATTCATTTGATTGGTTACAATGCCTAGTGGAAAGGAACAGTAAAACTGCTGCAGGAAGCAGTTAAGGTGCTTGATTTAATTATTTTGTTTAGCTGAAATTTCCATGGTTTACGCCTAAGCTTTGAAAATGGAGCACACCTCCCATGAGCCCTGACACCGGAGACCTCGCTGAACTGGATGACTTGGTACACAAAGTGCTTAGTGAAGCTCAGGTTTTGCTGCATGCTGTGCTGACACTGCAATACCGGTTCAATAGAGATGCTCCATGCAGCACTTGTGTGTTCAAACACTATGTAATCCTGCCACGAGGGAAGTATGGAAGCTGCTATTGCTGACATTTTCAAAAAGCCTGTTTCCTGGCTGTGTAAAGCCAAGTGTATCTTTCTGACCATGTTTCATGTTACACCCATACTTATAGTGCAGTATAAAACATGGTCAGATCACAAGCCCCCTCGCCTCTCTTGTGCACCCACACTTGCCTACATCGTGGAGCTCTCCTCCCCACGGGTTTGTTTACCTTTTTGAATTTGGTGCGGTTCTGCATGGCTTCGCCCCCACACAGCCACATCATCCATTCACATATCCTTGGACAGGATCTGTGAATGGAGAAACTACAAGTCCTGTCAGCTACTGTAGTAGAGTGACTTCTAGTTCTCAATTGAATACAAGTGCAGTGACTTCACTGCATTTGAAGTCCATTGACACTTCCACCCATCCGTGTTACTGCATGTCTGTAGCTTGGTATGGACAGGAGGAATAGTCTGCAGGAGCCAAAGATCTACTGAATGCGGTTTCAATGTTTTTCTGGCTCCTATGCTAAAAAATAAATGCACTTTTTTTCTTTTATGTAGATGTGTGCATTTATTTTTATTTTTTTTAAGGTGAAAGTTCCCTTTTAAGGATACAGGTCACCCAACCAGAACCAGCAATACAGATCAGGAATCTCCTCTTTATTGGTTCTCATTCTCCAGGTGAATAACTTGGACTATTGGAAGCCAGAGAATTGGCATGGCAGCCAGGCTGGTGGCAGCATTTTCAGAATTAGATCAGTGATGGCGGGCTCTGTGTTTTTCCAATAAGAAGTTGTCTGTTGGGTGCATACCTGAGCCTTGACCATGCAGTACCCCACAGTATATGCTCCCCTTTTCACCGCTCTGTATAGCTGTCGGGTGTGAAAAAAATACCCGGCACATATGGAGGAACATGTGACACGGTCTGTCTGACAGTGTCGGCGTGGGGCCCAACACTGTCAGGGGTGTGGACATTTTTGAAAAAACTACTTGTCCAAGGGCTAAATTGGGAACCAAATCTACTTGTCCTTCATAACAATCTACTTGTCCTGATACAAAAAAAAAATCTTTTTAATTAAAACTAGGGATGCACCAATACCGCTTTTTGGGTATAGAGTACGAGTACCGATATTTTGCTTTCGCTACTCACCGAGTATCGGTGCTTCCGTTTGCCCGGGAAGCCTGCTCCATGCAATCAGGAAGCCGGGCAGCGGGTAATGAGATTGTACCCGGCTTCCTGACTGCCAGGGAAGACGACTCCATGTTGTTTGGCTGGCTTGATTGTGAATGGCTTGGAAGCCGTTTCCCGGCCAATTGGCATTGAGCCAGCTTCCTGGCCAATCAGCAAACCCAGCGGCGAGTAATTACCTGATTGGCCAGGAAGCCGGCTCGATGCTGATTGGCTGGGAAGACCACGCTGACCAATGAGTGCTTGCAATTTGCGAGCGACATTCAAAATGCATAGGGCTATCGCATGGGGATTTAAAATCCTCTAAGTGATAGTTTGGAGGTGACAGGTTCTCTTTATGGAACCTGCCCTCCAACACAGAACTGATGTCCTGTGTAGTTCCTGACGGCTGAGACCGGTGATCACAGCGCCACGGTCTCAGTGATAACACAGAGCAGACGAAAAACGGACGTTTTTCGTCTGCTCTGCGGGCTCTATGGTGAGCTCATGTTCCGTGGTCTCGGGTCCGCCAGAGGTGCGCGGGATCCCGAAAACCACGGGGGGGTGGACAGAATCGCTTCTCGTTTAATTTGTGATCTGATAAATGATCAGATCACTTGAAAACGAGCGGCGGCTCCACACTGTACACCTAGCTCTGCTGGTCCGGAGCGGGGCTAAGTGTACAAAAAAACTACTCGCCCGGCGCCCGAAACTGCATGTCCCAGGCGTCGGGCGATAGGAATTCCACACCCCTGACTGTACTGTGCTGGAGCTCACCGTTTTGAAATCTTCCACTTTCCCAGGATCCCAAGGGGAGGCTGAATGATGTCACTGGTGCCTGGTACAGCTGACTGAAAGCCGTAGCTTTTTTTTTCCTCCATGCAAGGTCCGCTTTAATGGTAACAAGTGGGATGCTGATTGTTTCTGCATTTTATTTGCACCTCAGGTATTGAACTACCAGTTCCAGCATTCCACTCTTGGATATGTATTATTACCGTGTTTCCCCGAAAGTAAGACCTACCCCGAAAATAAGACCTAGTGCTATCTTCGGGGATTTAGGGTATTTGTCAGCTCATACTGATATCTAGTTGCTAGCTTCTGTTGACGCCGCCGTCTAACCTGACCTTCATTTTCTCCAATTTAGAGGTCCAGCTCGCCGCTGTCCAAGAAGCGACGTGTGGCCATATCGGAAACAGATTCAAGTACGGGTTCAACTACAAGTTCAAGTAGCTCCTCCACAGTTTATGTGAGCACAGCAGCGGAACTGCCAGCCAACGTAAGTTCCCCACAAACGAGGCCTTGTTTATATGTATGTTAGTAGGACCATTTCTTTCTATAGTATAAAAGCGTTATCCATTTTTTTTTACATTTTGAAATATGACTTTGTTATACCTCCCCAGTCTACAGAGATGGTAACATTTTGGCTTTCTTGCAGGGAATGGCTCGAAACAACAGTGAAGCAGAGATTGATGAGGGTCTCTATTCCCGTCAGCTGTAAGTATTCTTCCATGCATATGTCTTAGTCCCCGGTCAAACCTTTGTGCTGCGCGAGTGCACTTAAAATGTGCGTCATGCTTGCAGTGCCATCACTTGTTAATGGCACCCTGAACGCGGCTGGAAAACCGCTCCTCTTTTTCCGTGTGAGAAACACAGCTGAAAATGCTGCATGAGCTACTTTGGTGCGCATGCGACATCCATACAATTCCATGGGCGGCACAAACCGCGCACGAGCATCAGTGTTCCCGCATTACTTGGTGTGAACGGGAACTTAGTTGATGCTCAACTCCAGATAAAACCGTTTTCTGTTATGGCAGAATGGGGAAGTGTTAGTTTGTCAGCTTGTTAATGCTTTCTCTTCTCTTTGGGATTATATCCATTTACCGCCGGCCCCAAGTGGCATTTTGCCTTATTTCTGTTTAGTTCAAGTGCATCTATAGGCAAAGGTTTTTTATTTTCAGTTTTGGATAGAGTGGGGAAGGATTAGAGCTCTTATTTACTACTTGCCATTGTCAGCTTTTTTATTGTATGGTTTCCCTAATATTCCCTCACTTCCTGTTTGGTCAAATGTCTCCAGAACAAAAAGTGAAGGGAAATCTCTAACAGCCCCAGATAATAGTAAAAACTGAGTTTCTAATCTTTCGCCAATGTCTCTAAAACGTGAAATAAAAATACATGTTAAAGATTTTGTCCATCCATGTTGTCTCTAGAAATTGATGCAGCTTGTCTCATGACAACAGTCTCTATGGGTTCTTGCTCACTCGTTTGTGATCATATTTCTGAGTTGTTTTTGCTGACAGGCATTAGCTATGATGACTTCACGATACAGCCAGTGGATTGGCTTCACCATGAAGATGAAATAAATTTAAAACCTGCAGGACCCTAGTCCCCCAGTTTATTCAGTGAGAGGTCAAACACCCTTCTATGATCCAATATGCACCCACAGGGGGGAAATGAATAGCCGACTCAGTTGGTCTGTTGCTGTATGAGAAAGTAGCTATTTGAGTGATGGTCATTCATTGTGCGTTTTGGCTTTCACTTATGTTTGTGTGCAGCAAAAATAGAGCAACGATGTCTATACTCGTGTCTGAATATTAGAAAATGCCTATTAATACTAACCTGTCACAACAAAAACCTCAGAGTAAACAGGCTCTGTATGAAAGTAGGCACCATAAGGTATTCACAAGTATCCTGCCTTTGTATTTTGAATTTCCTTTAAAGGAGAACTATGGGTTCGGTGCTTTCCCCTATAGTTCTCCTAAGGGTCACGGAGGACATAAACTAGCGTCCTCCCATGACCCAAAGCTCAGTATACCGTGAGCTACAGCTCGCGGTATACTGAGACCACCGCAGCCGGGACAGATCCCGACATTACTGTCGAGATCCACCCAGCTGCTTGATTGACAGCTGGCTCTGCCTATCTAGAGGCAGAGCCAGCTGTGCCCGCCCCCCTCCCCTGTCCGTTCCCGCCAGTCAGCGCTGGAGGATCGGAGTGGGGGAATCCCTGCAGGGAGCCGTGCGTGACAGTCGCGGCTCTCTGCAGGGACATGATCGAGAAGTGAGCGAGCGACGGTATGTGTTCGCTCACTTCCCGATCTATTGAGCCGACCTGTGACAATTTCATTGTCACAGGTCGGCTCGAACTATGAGGTTGAGTGAAAATCACTCACCTCATAGTCCTCCTTTTAAGCTCAGTCTCTGGCTTCTGGGGTTTTAACATCCCCCCTCAGCCCTTCGCTTTACATAATTTCACAGTGGCACCTCTCATTCTTGTGCTGATTGTATTAAAACATTTGGGAGCAGGCCCAATCATCGTCTTTATGAAAAGTCACTTTTTTTAATGCAGAACTGGTGGAGCCTTGGATAGCAGCACTGAGGAATTTGACACATACAAAGGTGTGTGCTGACCCAGTTTGGTACCCATTTGAAAGCACACTGCTTACTTTTTAGTGGTTGATTAGTCTTCTTTGGTAGACGGGGTAAATGCATTACGCATTTGTATAACACATGTAGCGATATCACCGTGTGTCCCAACCAGTGTGAAATTTTGTCTTGTCCTCTTTTTGTCAACTTTACCTTTTATCAATTTTGGTTGTGTTTTCCAGCTACGTCTTGGGCCATGAGGCGATGAAGCGAATGCAAAACGCCAATGTTCTCATCTCAGGGATGGGCGGCCTCGGCATTGAGATAGCCAAGAATATTATCTTGGGAGGAGTGAAGTCCGCCACCATCCATGACCAAGCAAATGCTGAATGGAGGGACCTTTCCTCTCAGGTGTGCAGAGCTTTGTGAAGCCTCTGGTTATTATATATACCTATTAGGTTATTGTAAAGTTTGTAACTGTAATTTTCTCTGACAGTTCTATCTCCGAGAGGGAGACATCGGTAAAAACAGAGCAGAGGTTTGTCTTACAAGTCTGGTTGAGCTGAACCGTTATGTGGCTGTATCCGCCTCCACCAAGCCCTTGAGTGATGACTTACTTTCCAGCTTTCAGGTAAATAATCCATATTCAGTAATTGATGTTAACCTTCCTCATGGTTGTATACTTGTTCCAGTCACTGACTTGCAAGGTTAAAACCACTGGATCAGGCAAACTAACATTTTCATTGGAGGGTATATTTTGTATTCATCTACTCTAAAGAGATACATGTGTCACTCTAATGTTCAGAGGCAAAGTTAAGCCTGTCCTAACCTCCTCGTGGTGATAAATAGGAAGATGGACAGCTGGATCAGTGCAATAAATAGTAGGCTTGAAATGTGTTCACTGATCCTAGCAGTACCACCTGTGACTTTCTGGTAAACTGATCCTTATTTATCACATTTTTCATCTCTTTGTAGTTGGTGATCCTCACAGACTCCACTTTGGAGGAGCAGCTTCGAGTGGGCGACTTCTGTCACAGTCATGGTATCAAGTATATTGTGGCCGACACTAGGGGCCTTTTTGGGTGAGTGGAATCTCATCTCTGATTTTGTTTTGTTATGTACGGCGCTTTCATTAACCTGGCTTTTTGGAGTGTACAAGAAGAGCGGTCAATAGTTGCTGCTACCTTTTTTCTGACCATCTCTACCTGAAGATTTGTATGGAGCCGCAGGAAGGGAGGATGTGCTCCTCGTTTAGTTGGGTGTGAGCGTTAGAAGTTTTAGCTCCATAAACAGCCTTTTTCAGTAAAGCCGTTAAACGTGTGAGAAAGGGCCCAACGCTCTACCTGCCGTATGGAAATTGTAAACCTGAAATTTTCATATGCCGTATTTTTTAAAAATGCGTAAAAAATAGCTGGCAGATAATGTTTCAAAGAGATTCTGTATGTTCTTCAATAGAAAATTTGATGACTTTTTTACACTGACATTTTATAGTTCCAGGCATCTAAGTCCCAGGATTAGCAAACGTCTAAAATAATCGTAGCGTTTTTTTGCTTGCTGTTTAATTGGTTCTTCTAAACATGTTGTTTTTTTTCTTTTCTTCTACCCATCTACAGACAGCTGTTTTGTGACTTTGGGAATGACTTTGTTGTGCTGGATCCTAACGGAGAGCAACCACTGAGCGCCATGATTTCAATGATAACAAAGGTATTCAACAAATACAGTTTTTAGCTCATGCAGTAGTGTGATAGGGCCAATCACTCACAGCTGATATTTTGGTTATGGCTTGTTGTAGCTGAGTTGAATCTCCTACTGCTTTCCAAGAGTTCTCTGGCACTCCAAGTGATAACATTCTCCTAATGGAGTCATCACCTCTTTGGTTTGTAGACCATGGGGCTACTGGTTTTTGTACTATTTAAATGTTCTCTGCTCCAAAGCCTGATTTTGACATGTCTTTGTCCTTCCTACACTTACCCTTCATATCCATCGACATGAGGTAGCTCAGCTTGTACATTGACCTATCATTATGTTTTCCTAGGATAGTAACGGTGTTGTCACCTGTCTGGATGAGGCTCGTCACGGCTTTGAAAGTGGTGACTTTGTTACCTTTACAGAAATACAAGGCATGACAGAGCTGAACAGCTGCAAGCCTGTGGAGATCAAAGTACTAGGTGAGCACTGCATCCAAGTCTAGAAAGCCATATTAGAACTCTGTAGACTTTCTGGGAGATACTCTGCTCCTATTTTTTTAATCTGAGATGTAAGCCCCTAGCTTCTTGCATTGTTAATGTGAGGCTGGGGTGGTATAGGTGGCTGCTGACAAGTAAACCTTTGATGAAAAACGATTACCGTATTTTTCGCTCCATATGAAACCCTTTTTTTTCCCCCAAAAGGAGTGGAAAAATTTGCCTGCGTCTTATAGAGCGAATACCTATCGCCCGACGCCCGGGACATGTAGTTTTCTTGTACATTCAGCCCTGCTCCTGACAAGCAGAGCTGAATGTACAGTGGGAGCAGCTGCTCGTTTAATGCAAGTGATCTAAGTAGCTGTGTAGTAGTGTATTAAATCGAGAGGTGGCGGCGATCGGTCTGTCTCAGCGGTCACTGAACTGCAGCTCCTGTCACAGAATGCCTGCGTCCTATGGACCAGAGCTCCTTATAGAGCGCAAAATATGGTAGGTGAAAGTCAGAATGTGTACTCTGCATACGTTTTCCAAGCAGTGACTTTAAATCAAATCTGGGCTTTGACCTTGTATACAAGTCAAAGCAACAGTTTTACTTAAACGCCCTCCTCCCTAACAGCCCAAACTGAGCTTTCCTTTGTTTAGACCAGTGGTGGCGAACCTTGGCACTCCAGCTGTTTTGGAACTACAAGTCCCATGAGGCTCTGACAGCACCAGGCATGAGTCCCAGAGGCAGATGCATGTTGGGATTTGTAGTTTTGGCACAACTGGAGTGCCAAAGTTCGCCACCACTGGTTTAGACACTCAGCAAGGAATGAGTTGCCCTATTCGGAGCTTGCACAAGGCTGAAGGCTGCCGTGCTGGGCTAATCATTGGGCACCAGTGCTGTTGCGTGAGAGAAAGGCGAGTAAACAAAAAATGGCAACAGCTCTGATCAGTATGTTTTGGATTTGGCACAGAAGCACATTAGGTTTCTTCCACTGGCTTGGGAGTCTAGACTTCGGGTGTGCTGGAGAATGGGGATTGTCAAAATACGGTTCTCCTCCTAGTTAGTTTTTGGGCCTTTCAAGAGGACCGGTGTTGCTTCTATTTCCTGAGGCTTGGCAGCAGAAACATATTGGCTATAATGATGGTAACTCTAAGCAGCAGCAGTACATTAGTATTGCTTAGTCACTTGTAATTTTGAATAGCTTAAAGGCTTTGGGGGAAGAAAATGGATCTGAGGCTGCAGAGGACAAGCAGTTGCTGATATGCCTTCTCCCAAAGCTTGTTTTGTTGTATTGTTTAAAAGTTACATTTGTATTTTTACCTGTATTTTCTGACTTTAAAAAAAAAGAAAAGAAAAAATAAATTTGATTCAACCGTAATTGTTACCCTGCATCCTAGCTTAGATTTCACAGTGTGACTTTATCCTTATTCTTCTGTCATAGGGCCTTACACATTCAGCATCTGCGACACAACCGGTTTCTCAGATTATGTCCGTGGGGGAATTGTCAGCCAAGTCAAGATGCCTAAAAAGTTTGTCTTTGTAAGTTGGTTTATGCATATGGGCATACAATGGCTTTCCCATAACTCCTCCCTTCATAGGCTCTCACATGCATGTTTCCTTCATACAAAGACTCCTGTGACTTTTTTCCTTTCATACAGGGGCTCACCTATGATTTCCTCCTTCATACAGTGTGTCTCTCATGACTCTTATTGTTTCCTTCTAACAGAAACCCATGCGGGAGTCCATCCAGGAACCAGAGTTTCTTATCACTGACTTTGCCAAGTTTGACCGCCCGTCCCAATTGCACCTAGGTTTCCAAGGCCTGCATGCCTTCCAGAAGAAGCATGGCCGACTTCCGAAGCCTCGTAATGAGGTGAGCGCCAACAACTATAATATTGCAGATTATGCTCTAAGGGCATCAGAGCTCACTGTCTTATGACATATTTGCTGTCATTTCCAGGCTGATGCAAATGAAGTCTTGACTATTACCAAAGACATTAATCAGCACTTAAACGGATCTGCAAAGCAGGAAGAGCTTAAAGAGGATCTGCTGAAAAAATTATCCTTCCAAGCCATTGGAAACCTCGCCCCTGTGAATGCTTTCATTGGGGGGCTTGCTGCACAGGAGGCCATGAAGGTAATCTGTGCGTTTCCCATTTTTTTCCCTTTTTTCTTTGGTTTCCATTAGTTTCTGGCTTTCATGATTGGCCTTTTTGTCCTCAGGCACTTTCAGGGAAGTTTATGCCAGTTATGCAGTGGTTGTACTTTGATGCCTTAGAGTGTTTGCCAGACGAAAAAGATGATAATTCCGTATTGACCGAGGAAAACTGCAGCCTTGTAAGTTGCCTTCTGTTACTAAGGTCATTAGTGGTCTCTAAACAATAGGTTCATTTTCCCTCCTGGATTTTATTTAACTGTACATGTCTGTCTTACTTGGTAACAGAAAAACAACCGCTATGATGGACAGATAGCCGTGTTTGGGTCTGAGTTGCAGGAGAAGCTTGGAAAACAGAAATATTTCTTGGTAAGTTGCCCCTTCTGTTCTCTCGATTATTTGGTAGTTTTAGGTTATCGGTGTATAAGTAATATTGACTGTTGCCTTAAAATATTTATTGCAGATTATATTGGTGTACCTCCTAGCAATTTTCTTTTTGAGTAGAAAACTGAACCCCTCTCAGGCTTTGGTTTTATAAAATAAAATAAAAAAGTCACAATGTATTGCAATCCTGAAAACGTTGCAACATATTTCCTACACCAGAACCAGAGAGATTAGAAGTCAGTTGGCTGTTAGGGGCACAGATTTTGTTGGGGGGTTTTTTGTTTGTACTTGAAATATATGAGGAAATGTGTTAGCATAGCTTTGTTCCCATACATGTATTGAAGGCGATGAGGATGTTGCATTATGGGTTGATTATCTTCAAAGTTGTAAATGTGTATGTTGATGCTACCATTCTGTGCTGCTGTTTTTGAATGAGTATATTTTGCTCTGATCTTCACCTATGTCTTGTGCAGGTCGGTGCTGGTGCCATCGGTTGTGAGCTGCTGAAAAACTTTGCTATGATTGGTTTGGGGGCTGGAGAAGGTGGAGAGATCACGGTCACTGACATGGACACCATAGAAAAGTCTAACCTGAACAGACAATTCCTCTTTAGAACATGGGATGTTACGGTGAGTGGTGGCACAGGGCTGATTATCCTTTTCAGCTGCTGCCATATTACTTTTTGTTTTGATCACTCAAGTTACAGCTTTTAGCCTTTTGGTGCAGGCTAGAAAAATTAAATGATTGCTAAAAATAATGCAAAATGTTTACATGTAAAGTGCCATTATGTCCCATCAATGGATGGCCACATGTAATTGCTATGCCATCTCTCCTAACAGAAAATGAAATCTGAAACTGCAGCGCAGGCAGTCAAACACATGAATCCTGACTTGCACATCACTGCACACCAGAATCGTGTGGGCCCAGACACAGAGAAAGTTTATGACGATGATTTCTTTGAAGCACTGGATGGTGTGGCCAATGCACTTGACAATGTGGATGCCAGTGAGTGATTACTATTATGAGTTTTTTCTGCTTGACGTGACTCACATTTGTCCCGTTGCTGTAAAGGTGCAGCTGTTCCCGATGGGCAAACACGTGAAATGTTATTGACTCTAATGGTGATGGGTTCGCGTTAGAGAGAAGTTGGAATAATGAAATAGACATGGCCTTGATACAAAGTTATACACAGACCCTTATGTGGTACTGTTGAATGTCGAGAGAAAAAAAAGAATTTCCTCCAAAGGTTATTCTGGGAACGCGGCCTTGATTCCAATCCTAGGAGGAAGGACACTGCGAAATAAAGCTGAGGAGTGTGCTCCTTCCCTTGTCAGAGGTCTGTGAATGTAGGACATCCTGATTAGTTTAAATGCTGAAAACGATTGAATATAAAAGGTTTTGGAGTTTGCTACATGGCACCTGGGACCATTATACCAATCCCTAGACTCTGAGATGTACTGCCTGAAATACTTCTTGTGAGCATTTCTCATGGTAGTGAAGGAGGTTGTTTTGTTTCCAGGGGAATTATCGTTCTCATCCTAGGCGGATCTGTTCTTTGTTCCATTCTTTGTTCCAGGGAGGCACCTTTTTGCCACCACACACTTGCAACTTCAATCTTTGTGTGTGGGCGCACTCATCACATGTCCCTTACTGCAGCCATGCTCCTGCCAGAAAAAATGCTGGCAAAAGACACATCAGACATCCTAGGCTTTTTCTTTATCCTTTTTTTTTTTTGTATCTCGAAAGCAAAGCTCTCACTACAGCAGATTGCATGAATGTTTTTACATGGACATTTATCAGACAGACATTTTTTAGATATTGGTTTAAAATTACAAATATTACCAGTACAAACATATTACCAGTTTTAGACCATGACTTGGAGATCTGTTACTGTAAATGGACTTTGCCAAAAAGATCTTTCCCTCACTTTTTTGTTTTGTGGTTTTGAATAGGGATGTACATGGACCGTCGTTGTGTCTACTACCGCAAACCGCTTCTGGAGTCTGGAACGTTAGGAACAAAAGGGAACGTCCAAGTTGTCATACCGTTCATCACAGAATCCTACAGCTCAAGTCAGGACCCCCCAGAGAAGTCTATACCCATTTGTACCCTGAAGAACTTTCCAAATGCTATCGAGCACACATTACAGGTAGGCTTGCTGATAATGGACACAGGGTGATGGATGTACTGTTATTTTCTTCTGTACTTTATGCAAAAATGTAGAAGCATTTTTATAAATGTAATTTCCTTCCTTGCATCAGTATATTTTCCCTTTTACACTACAGTACACTGCAGCAGTCACTGAAAAATCTGATTCCTGTGTTTACGGGGCTCAGTGCCCCTGATATCCTGGTAGTAAAACTGGCTGCTACTATGCCTTCTTCCCAGGGCACCAATCATGTAAAAACCCCTTAGTCGTTTTACTTTACAAGCAGCAATGTATATGGGTGCTGCACATGCATCCACGTAAATGTGGGAAAAGGCACGGCTGTAGCAAAGTCTGCGATGTGTTGTGCATGTTTGAATGTGCAGGAAAACTGTGCTTTTGTCCCAGTGGCATTCAGGTTGCCATTAACTAGCAAGTGTTGTGTGTTTCGTACACGCTCCTTAAATAAGTGGCAAAGTGTGCAATTGTGCCTGAGATTGCCACATGGTACGCGATGGTTTGAACCGGGACTTGGCACTTCTTCACACCACTGCACGTTTGGTATGCAGGGGGCACAGAGAAAACCATTTTCTGTGTGTCCTGTTTCCACTATACATGTGTACAGTAAAATGTAGATCAACGGACATTGTGTAAAAAATTTGACATTAAGACTGGTTAGTGCACTCCTAAGGTGGTATGTTGCCCCTTGAGTTTTCTGGATTAATTGCCCTAGCTCCTGTGCCAGAACAGTTTCTGGTCGTTTTTCTCCAAGCTGTTCACCATTCCCAAGCCCAGAGGAGGCATTCACCCCCATTCTGGGTCTCAGGGCTCTGATTGTCCTAATTTTGTTCTTCAAAAAATCTGCAGGGAATCTATAACATTTCTGGTTTATGTGAACATTTCAAGATGCTTGCCAACACGTCCCCATCTTTACAGCACATCAGCAATTCCTTTACTTTGCTGAAGGTCACTTGACCCCTTGTCTGCGCCTCAGGTATTCCCGAAGGTGCTGACCTAGTACTATCCCTGCTGCTCTAAAGAACACCCCCTGTTGAGGGAACATTCAAAATAGGTTTTCTTAAGACAACATGACGTTGACCCCCAGGTGTTACAGCAATTCAGATGTATGCTGAGCCTTCTGAAATCATAGCTCGAACAGACTCCTCAGAGTATCTTGCTATCCTCGATTGATCCAGGACACAGCTTAGACCAGTGTGTTCCTTCCACAGGAGAAACTTCAGACACTCAGGTCCCGGATTTAAATTCTCCAGTCCAGTAGCCGTCCAGCTCTTTGCATGACAGTCCTGGGTCTAAAGTTAGACTCCTTCATGGCAATTCCATTTGCCTAATTTAACTTCAGACCTCTGCAACATTCTGTTGACATGGGACTTGTTGATCCCGTCTCTGAACACACTGATTTGTCTGGCTCACCAGGCCAGGTTGTTCCTGGCTTGGTGGCTCAGGAATCAGCCTGGGTCACGAAGAATGCTAGACTGTCGGACTGGGGAGCAATCCTGGGCATCCTGTTGGAGGTCATCAAGGCGTCTCATGCCCTGATGAACTTCCTGATGATTTGACTGTCCCTTCAGCAATGGACAACCTTAAGGTCATCTGGTTCAGATTCGGTCAGTAAACGCCAGCACAAGGTTCTATATTAAACGCCTAGAACAAAAAATCTTTCTGTGGCAAGAGACACCGTGTTTATTTTAGGCGTTTACAGTTGGCAGGCATATTTTCCCATACAGCAGTGCTGGACTAGGGGCGTGGTCCCTACATCCGGAGGTGGTCCAAGACCTGACTCCCAGGTGGGAATGCTAGACGTGGATCTCCTGGTCTCCAATTTCAGCCACAAATTGGACAGGTTTGTCTCCAGGTACAGGGGTCTTCTAGCAGAAGCAGTGGATACTCCGAAGGTTCTTTTGAAAACACTCTGATCTTTGCCTCTCCCACTCATCTGCTTGAAGAATCGAGGTGGCGGTCATTTCAGTGATCCTCACTGCTGAGGACTGGCCCGGGCAAATGTGGTACACTGAACTAATAAGACTTCTAGCAGACGGGATCCTCCATGTAGCTCTCTCGGTCTCTGTGCTTCAGAAATTGCCATTCTTCTCCCTACTCTCACCCGCAAGGTGTCTGAACTGATGAACTCTGCAGCCTTACCCTGCAAGGAACCCTTTATGGTTTTGCATTTGGTCAAGGTGGTGAGACCCAGAACTTCTTACTTGCCTAAAGTAGTTCTTGCCTTTTACCTCAACCAGGACATTGTTCTCCCTTCCCTCTGTTTAGCTCCAGTTGACTGAAAGTAAATTTTCTTTTGTCTGCATGTAGTTTGGGCTGTCAGTCTACCTCCCGGGCATTACTTTCAGGAAGACGGTTTTCCTTTTCATTTGGGCTGAAACAACTAATCGATAATCAATAATTTAGATAGTTAGCAACGATTTTCATTATCGATTAGTTGGGCTGCTCGCAGCTCCTACCTCCCTCCCACTCTCCATGTGAAGCTAAGGAAAGTGGTGGTGCACGGAGCTTCGCGTGCAGTGTGTCTAGCAATATCCTCTCCCGTGCTCAGCTAGTTGAGATGAAAAATGCGATCTCTGGTCAATCGGCTCGTACGTATCCGCGTCAGGATGCGGATTCAAGCATGCAGCCAATCTGCGTCCCCCAGACAAAAGCGTCTGGTGAGAGGAGTCCAGGAGAGAAATCCGCTTGGTGATGTTTTCCTTCCTGCACAAGTTTTATCTGTGACATATGCCAGGGATGAGAGCTATCCGGACAGAATGAATATGATATAGCAATTAAATTAAACATTTAATCAATATTTAATAATTAACAGTGATTGTTTGCAGTGTTGCCCAGCCCTCAGTTGGACTGCTTTTAAACATCCCAGAGATTAAAGACTTCCTGTGTCCCTCAGTACTCAATAGAATTCTTGTACTCTTCGTAAAAAAAAAAAAAAAAAAAAAAGTTTTTTTTTAGGTCTTTTAAAGTTTAACATGGGCTTTCAGGCACTTGCATGCGTTTTTGCGTAAAATTTTTTTACCATTTCGTAAAAAAAAAAAAAAAAAAAATCAGTTTCTTTTGAGTCTGTTAAGAGACACACACAGAGGTGCTCTCTGCACGGCTTTGTTACAAAATAAGTCAAACAAGTCATTCTGGTAGTAGGTGGCGTTATCCGTGTTTGGCGACAGGTTTTTGTTTGCCAGTGGCCAATCCTCCTGTAGGCAGCAGTTTAGCACAAAGGTTAAAGACTTCTTCTGTGTCCTTCAATAGACTCCAAGTAAAGGATTTTACAGTGAGTACAAACATTCTATTTTCTTTTTCTTAATCAGGCAATTAAATCTTTTTTTATTTTTAGTGGGCTCGGGATGAGTTTGAAGGCCTCTTCAAGCAACCTGGAGACAATGCCAATCAATATTTAACGTGAGTAACAAATTTGCATCTTGACATCACCTGTTTGTAATATACTTCAATTATACTAGGGATGCACCAATGCTGTCTTTCCGGTATGAGTACCGATTTTATTTTATTTTTTTGAATTTTTAAAAATTATTTAATTCTGCACTCGCCGAATACCATTGCCGGCATCCGGAGGTACGGTGAGCCCGGCTAATCGGGAAGCTCTGCTGCCAAGCCCGGGAAGCTGCGGTTCTATCAAAAGAACACCGGCTTCACACTCCTCGCGATACTGCAAAGCAACCAAGCTTCTTGACCATTTAGCAAGCAGAGAGGGGGGGGTCGTGCCGTCCGGCTTCCTGATTGGTCATGCTGCCTCACAGCGTGATGCCGGCTTCCTAGCCAATCAGGAAGCTGGGTTGCATGCTTCCTCGCGGCACTGCCGGCCAAGGGATTCTCCCTCTGACTGGAAGTTCCAGCATCGGGATAAGTATCGAAGCATTTGGCAGTGAGTACCCGCCCAAATACTCGGTATCTTCACCGATACAGGTATCTGTATCAGTGCATCCCTAATTTTATACAGTAGGTTGAATCTTCACAGAAGCGTTCTAAGGCAATGGGTCACATGAAGCATCACTTGGCACTAAACCATGCAGTTTAATTGTCTTCTCCAGTATTTTATTAAGGTGGTGGTCCAGCAAAAACAGACAAATAGAAGAGCTGATTGGGTCTAGCTTTCTCGTACTCATTGAAAAAATAAGTGACCACCTCTCAGCTGTACTGTAAATAAATGCACAATCACTGTAACAGAGCCCCATATAGAAGTAGATTCCCAACAGGGGAATAGTTTTCTCCTGACGGTATACTGCATGTATAAAGGTAGGTGTAATTGGCTATTGGATAGCAAACTGCTAGAATAAAAACTTTGTTCTTGGGAAGATGCTGCAGTCCAACCGTAATCCCGGATTTTTTTCTTGACTGAAATGTTCTTCTGTCTCAGAGATCAAAAGTTCATGGAAAGGACCTTGAAGCTGCCAGGCTCTCAACCGCTTGAGGTGATCGAAGCTGTTTACAAAAGCTTAGTCACAGACCGGCCTAAGAATTGGACAGACTGCGTGTCCTGGGCTTTTAATCATTGGCACACTCAGTACTCCAATAACATTCGTCAGCTGCTGCACAATTTCCCCCCAGACCAGGTATGTGGCTCCTTGAAATCAAACTTAGTGAGATCTGTGAAAAACTTGCAGTACATGCACAGTCCTAAAATGATACTCTGTATTCATTGCCCACATAACATTAGTATTGTGCACTTGCTGTAGAAAATATTTCAAATGGTTTCATTTTCGGGAGGACCTGTGATCGCAGCTAAATAGTAAATCAATAACAGGATTTTTTATTTTTTTGTTTTGTTTTGTTTTCGCAATAGATTGACCACCTGTCTTGTAAATTGATTTTAAATCTGTGTAAAGGGAAAATGTAATGCTTCTGGGTCTGTGTACTTTTTTTTTTCTTTTTCTCAAAACTGTGTTTGACGTAAATGTCTGTGGACAAATATGTAAAGGATAAGTGTGCTTTTCTTCTTCCCCACCCCTACCCTTTCAGCATATGGGACCCTTGACTGATCTTCACTGTGCAGCATGCCCACTGCTGCACTTGCACTGCCTTTAGCTGTCCTCAAGCTGACAGTTGGGCATCACATTGAGTAAATGGGAGGCTGTGATCCATGCAACAGCTCAGATGTCCTGTTGGTGTTTTGTTGCTGTTGCCCACCCCTCAGTAGGACTGCTTTTTGGATATCCCAGCAGCTATTGAATTTCTGTGTTTCACCATGAATTCTAAAGATTATGGCATTTTTGTACTTGCTGTAAAATGTATTTCCTATTGTTCATTGAGGGCCACGTTCATGCTTTTCCACCAAACTAAGCAATAATGGGAGTAGAAGGGGTTATACTGGGCTTATTTTTTGCCAGTACCCAGATCCTGGTGTAGGCGGCATTAAAACCCAACAGTTCTTTTAATACCTGTGCTTCTTTGTGAACTACAAGAAATGAATTTTATGGCAAGTACAAGGAAAAAAATGTTTAACCCTTTCGCTGCCAAGCCCTCCGGAACATTTTTCAAATCAGCTGGCCAAGCCATTTTTGAATTTTCTGCAATTTTTTCCTATTAGATTTTGTGGGAAGTTTTTTACTTTTAATGCTCAACATCAACCATCTTGTTCCCTCCCACGACTCTGTTCTCCACAGGTGGAATAGTAAAGAAAATTATTTAAAATAATCTAATTACTTTAATACATTTGATTGTATATAAACGTATACATTTATTTGAAAAGCAGACTGTAATATTGTCTTGATGTTTTACATCTAAGGGAATCTTACAGAAACTGGTATCTGATTTTGAAGGCTCTGTTTTGTCTCTTTAGCTGACCTCATCTGGTGCTCCTTTCTGGTCCGGCCCCAAAAGATGTCCCCATCCTTTAGTTTTTAGTGGAAACAATGTAAGTACTCTATGATCGAACGCAACTGTGCCAGTTCTTCCTGTGGAGCTTTAATAATCTCGCATGTCTTTTTCTGTTATCCCCAGTCCTTGCACTTGGATTACATCATGGCAGCTGCTAGCCTCTTGGCAGAGACATATGGTGTCAGCCGATCCATGGACAGACCTGCTGTGCTAGAGATTCTAAAAAATATGAAAGTGACAGAGTTTACACCCAAATCCGGGGTCAAAATTCATGTGTCGGACCAAGAGATGCAAAATGCACATGCTTCCCTAGGTATAATCATTACACGCGTTCATTCTGTAGAATGGTCGGGTTGTGGAGTGACATGTGAATTTATTAAATGGGTTGCAACAGGCCAGAGAAACTATATTAGCTTTTTTTTTTTATCTCGTAGCAAATGTCAGTATAATGGAAAAGAGGAAGCCTAAGAAACGGAAAATCATTTAATTGGCTTTCCAGCACAGGATATATTGGGCATTGCTGAAAAGTACTGAGAATGACAAGTCTCCTCTAATCTGATTATTTAGCAGCTCAGTGCTGCTCTCTTGTCTCATTCCCCTTTGTCCAAAGCTTGCTGTACCTCTCTGTAGATCACGTGTCAAACTCAAGGCCCAGGGGCCTGAATCCGGCCCACCAGGCCATTTCCTAGACTTCTACTTTCAGATCTAGGTATTAAGTTATTACTAAAACCAGTGATAATCGAATGCAGAGGCAATTATGATAAAGATTAGCTACATTTATATAATCTCAGGGGTGTGGAATTCCTATCGCCCGGGACATGCAGTTTAGCCCGGCTCCGGACAAGCGGAGCTGATTGTACATTGTGGAGCCGCTGCCCCTCGTTTACTACAAGTGGTCTGATCAGACCACTTGTATCAATTTGAGCAGCGGCGATCGTTTCTGCCTGCACCCCCCGCCGTAGTTTTCGGGGGTCGCCCGCTCTCCTGGGGGACCCCGAAAACTACGGCACAACGGCTCAGCCATAGAGCCCGTAGAGCAGACTAAGAACATCTGCTCTACGGGCTCTCGGTGTTCTCTGTAATCACAGCGCCACCTGTCTCGGCTGTTCTGTGTTGGAGGGCATGTTCCATAAAGAGAACCTGTCACCTCCAAACTATCGCATAAGAGATTTGAATCCCCTATGTGATATGAAGAACATTAAGTGGAAAAAGTAAATTAAAAATTTTAAGAAAATTGAAAAAGTTAAAAAAAAATAAAATATACAAATTGAAAAAATTGAAAGTAAAAAATTAAATAAAAATGAAACCCTGCTGCCCCTGCCATCTGCATGCAAATAAACGCATGCGTAGCACATTCTGAATATTTAGCACATCAAATATGTTTTGATTAGGGGTGCACTGATAGAGTATTTGGCCGAGTACTCGTACTCACCCAAATGCTCCAATACCTTCCCCGATATTGGAACTTACGGCCAGATGAAAATTTCCTCTGACTGGCAGTGCCGTAGGGGAACATGGAGCCAGCTTCCCGTGCACTCAGGAAGCCTGCTCCATGCCAGCGGAAGCACCGGTATTAGTATTCCGTGTCGGCGAGATCCGAAAGCAAAAAATCGGTACTAGTACTCGATACCGAAAAACCGGTATTGGTGCATCCTTAGTTTTGATTAAAACTATTTTTTTGTATTGGGACAAGTAGATTGTCATGAAGGACAAGTAGATTTGGCCCCCCGCTTTAGCCCTTGGACAAGTAGTTTTTTTTTTTTTTTTAAATTTCCACACCCCTGAGTCTTATAGATACCTTTTGAGGGCAAACATAATGTTGATGCGGCCCACGATTTAAGTTGAGTTTGACACCCCTGTTGTAGAGTCTCTCCTCTTTCCCTGCGATTGTGTTGTCATTATCTGTGAGATAAGCCCATTAATAGGTGTAGGGAACCATAACCTTGATGTAAGCAATGGTATTGCCCTCCTTGTTTTTAGGTTTACTGGCAGCATTGTAGTTCTCTTGCGTATGAAGTGGCAGGTTCACTGCTTGGAAAGCAGGCACTGGTGCTTTGCCAGACATTTGTCATTTTAATTTTTGCCCCTAGTTTCCTTTTAAGGTGAAATGGCATGGCTAGTATCCCCGATGCGTCCTTCCACGTCACACAGTTGTGATCTATACTGTTGGAGAGAATACGACTTGTGACTGGTTATTCCAGACTTTTTGATACATTTCTTAAAGTGGAATACCAACCAAATACCAGTAAAATATGAAAGTGTTGGGTTTTCATTGTTGTCTGTGTTCCCGTTGGGGATATTTCACTTCTGGTGTGTAAGAGGACAGGAAGTGAGTGGAAATTTCCCCATTCGAGGACACATTAAAAACCTGATGAAGGTTCTATCCCTTTATTACTTTATCTTAAAAATGAATATGTAGCTGAAGTTTTTATCATGGTAAATTCCATCCTGTGAGGTTTTTCTGGAACTTGTTCTGGAGTTCTGCTTTCTTTAGTTTTCATTTTTTCTTCCACAACACCTTTTTTGATTGCTGTATATGTTGCAGCATTTTGTATATTGCTGTTTGGGTTGTCTTGCTAAGACTATATTGGTGGAAGTTCTTCTTGCTGCCTAAAAGATTACTGTAGCTTAGTAACTGTAATTTATTTTTACCCTTTTGTCAGATGACAGTCGTCTGGAGGAGCTGAAAAACGGTCTACCCCTACCAGAAAGTCTTTCTGGGTTCAAAATGTTTCCTGTTGAATTTGAAAAGGTAAAACTCCTAGCTGTTTGCGGCAGTAGTCTTCTTCTCTTTTTGTTAAGAGTTAGGTGGTCATGATTGGTCTTGTCTGTTACAGGACGATGACGCCAACTTCCATATGGACTTCATTGTAGCTGCTTCTAATCTGCGGGCAGAGAACTACGACATCCCACCTGCAGATCGCCACAAGGTAAGTGTATTGGGTTGGGTTCCTGATCATCTGCTAAATTGTGTGGAGAAAAATCAAAGCCCTAGGACCAGGGCTGATTTCAGCCCTTTTACACTTTTCAAGATATAACTTTTAGGGTTTGGAGTGTACTTATAACTTAGTCCCTGAACAGCAGGATGGAACAATGGCTTTCCTGTGGTGATTTCAATGTTCCACAAATGGCGTGAGGAACATTTTATTTTAACACTGATATAGCCTGAAGGTAAAACAGTACTCTGTGTTGTATGATGTACAGTTGATAAAGGTGTTCTATCAAACTTTAACACTATCATAATTGATGGCTGCCCTATGACATTTTCATTTGCTTCATCTTGCCTGTTTGCAGAGCAAATTGATAGCAGGGAAGATCATCCCAGCCATTGCTACAACCACAGCCGCAGTGGTGGGCCTGGTGTGTCTAGAGCTCTACAAGATCATTCAGGGACACAAGAAGCTGGAAACCTACAAGAATGGATTCATGAACCTGGCTTTGCCTTTCTTTGGCTTCTCTGAGCCCATCGCTGCCCCTAGGCACAAGGTAAGACTTCTTATGTGGTCTTTGATAAGTCTGTTCAGTCTTCTCAATCAGGATTAGGTTTATGGTTGGAGTGAGCACAATCACAAAGGTTTAGCATATTTTAGTCCTTCCCCCACTAATTGGGTACAAATAAGTGGTGTATAGTCAGTGCTGCTTATTTAGGATCATTGTCAGATGACAGTGATCACCAGCTTTGAGTTGGTGTTCAGCTCTGAGCTGCTGTATTGTCGTCCTGGTTGTTAGTCGCATAAGGGTGCAGCGTTTATGAATGCGCACTTTTCCATGCGCCTACCTTCCTATGCACCAATACTTTCTGGCTGAATTGCCAGGTTATATCTGCCTCCTGCTGAAGAAAGGAACTTTCTATCTTGTACAACTACTGTTGTTTTTGGGTGGAGTAAGACAAGGATTGCCTGTCAGGCCTTGGCATCATTGGTGAGATGTTTCCCCAAAACCTGACAGTTGAGACTTTGCTGTGAGTAGAAAGTTAAGATCAGAGCATTGGCTTGTCACAACTGAGTGAAAGGCAGGTAAAGTGAACCTGTATTGGGACAAAAACCCTGCTTTTATTTATCCAGAATGAATTTAAAGGAAAGCTCTGGTCCAGTTTCTTATGCCCAGTTTGCATTGACTGATGTTTCTTCCGTTTTCAGTACTACGAGCATGAGTGGACTTTGTGGGACAGGTTTGAGGTGAAAGGCATTCAAGACAATGGGGAGGAAATGACACTGAAGCAGTTCCTGGACTATTTTAAGGTGAGTCATTTCCCTAAGCCATGTATACTTGAACTACTCGGGACCTTTATTTCACATCGGCACACTTTCCTAGCAATAATAAAATATTCTATCTGTCCATGCACATTGGAGCTTACTGCCTGGATGAGAGTTAACGTACGAGTTATCTTACCAGTGTGTTGTCGTTTGTGTGAGTTTCTTCTAACTAACCAGGAGAGAACATGCCAACACAATATACATGGTTTCTGTGCTTGGAATTGAACCAGTAACTCCAGTGTTGCAGTAAAAGAGTTCTAAACTACCTATATGAGAAGTTAGTAGTGTAGTGACAGGCAGCAGAAGCTCCTACACTTGTGGTTCTATTGGGGCCCATTTTGTGTTTGAGAATACACAAGCAGTGGCCTACTTGCCCCTTCAATAAAAAAAGGGAACATTTGGTGCGGCCTTGCACAATGATTTAAAAACCAGTTCCGTTTCACACAATCAAGGTGCATCTCACTCTAGGCCTGATCATTTTTAGTAATGTTTGAAGCAACGGTCTGACTGTCTAAGGTTGTTCTCCATTGTCTGTTTGATGCGTTCTGATGTAACGGTCATGTCTTTGTATGGACTGCAGAATGAACACAAGCTTGAAATCACAATGTTGTCCCAGGGGGTCTCCATGCTCTACTCGTTCTTCATGCAAGCTGCCAAGCTAAAGGAGCGTCTCAAGCTACCGTACGTATCTTTCTTTTTCCTTAATCCATGCAGCTTTAAAGACCAGTCCAGTCATATTTACCATGAAGGACTCCTAGGGCAGCAAGATGAGACTAGAGAGCACCAAACTGCAAAATTATTTTGCGTGTGTTTTCTATGCTCTCGTTCTTTGGTATACTGTGAGGAGAATTTATCAAAACTGGAGCAGTTGACCAGGGCAACCAATCAGCTTCTCTTCAGTTCAGCTGAGATTTGAAAAAAGAAAGAAGCTGATTGGTTGCCGTGCACAGCTGCTGCAGTTTTGATACATTCCCTTCTGTGTGTATATATGGGATCTGCTTTATATATATGTCCCCATTGGGCCTTCTTATTCCCCTCCTTGCCTATTAACAGACTTGTTCTGCTTGCAGGATGACTGAAATTGTGACTAAAGTGTCAAAGAAGAAGATTGGGAAACACGTTAAAGCTCTGGTGTTCGAACTGTGCTGTAATGATGATCTTGGAGAAGATGTGGAGGTCCCTTACGTGCGTTACACCATCCGCTGAACAGAGAAGACTGGTTCTTATGCATACATCGGGGGATTTGAGGCAGCATGGAAAAAGGGCACACTACCCCATTACCCCCTCTAGGAGTGCCCATTTTAGGCTTGGTCTGCTTCCTCTTGATGTACCCAAATTCATTGGCCCAAGAAGCGCCAGCCTGCAACACATTCTGTTCCATGTCCTTGTCTCGTTAACTTGTTTCATTATCTTGTTTTGTTAGCTGTTTAGTGCACACATTTGCTTAGTGTTTCTAAACCCAAGACTTTTAGTTCTGGATGGAGTGGGGAATGGTTAGAACCTTTTTGTCATGTTTTTATTGCTGCCTGTGTTTCACTGGGTAGTTCAACACTCACTATTTGTCCTGGTGACCTTTGCCACCAGGATATATAGTGATGGGAAATCTAAAATGGAGGTGTCTTCACTTTGGATGGGTTTCTCACTTCTGGTTTCTCCAAGGGAAAACTACTCAATTGAATGCAGACAGCAAATAAAAAAAAACTTTCATACTCTGTCCAAAACTATCAAAAAAAGTTTTGGCTTTAGATATACTTTAACCCTTCATACCTGCTCCCTGCTGGCAGAAGGGTTAGTGACCGACTGGAGCTTGTCCACGCAGAGTTCTGGTTGTGCAGCTGCATGGGGGAGCGTCCTTATCTTGCCCACACCACCACCCAGAGCGTGCCAGTGATCTGAGGGCCTTATCTTGTAGAAATGTTTCTTTATACTGTGAGTTCTGAAAAAGAATTAAAGTGTAAAACTCAAGCTGTTGCTTCCAAAGTTTTTACAAAGTGTCTGATCCCTCTTGCTGAGAAGGTGCAGTATAGAACTAGGGATTGATAGTACTGCAATGGTGCAACTAAAGCAGGGGTGGGGCAGTATGGCAGGGGGCATTTGGTATAATTACCTCTAAAGTTTGCTGTGTTCCAGCAAAGACAGCTCTGCTATTTCCCCTGACTGCTCTGCAGACACCAGTGCCATTTCACTTGATGCTTCTTCAGTTGGCGGCATCTTTTTTATGAGATTGGGCAGTGATCATGCAACTCCCACTCATGTGCAATACAGTTGCACCATCCCAGTACTAAGCTCCCCTGTTCATCTCATGAGTGTACACTGCATTTGTGTAGCAGGAAGTATTGTTAGTGTTTGGTTTTTTTTATTATTATAAATGTAAATTGTGCACGCTTTCTTTACTGCTTCAAGTCGTCCATCACCCTGCCAAATTTGTCAAGACAAGAAAATGAATCGCCACACAACACAAACTTTTGTTCATTAACCAGTTGACATCCGCGGTGTTAAACCCCCTTCCCATCCAGGCCATTTTTCAGTATTCAGCGCTGCGGTACTTTGACTGACATTTATTCCGTCATGCAGCGCATTGAGGTCAGCTGACATGTTTTAAAAAAAATACTGTTCCACACAAAACATGTCAAGCTTTGACCTTTGCTTCTTTTTAATAAACGGGAAAAGTTGCTTTAGCCCACAATATGGTCATTTGTTTTGGAACAGCACCTGGGGATTTTGCAGTGGAGCCAGTGGTGAGTCGCATACCCTGAGCGGTATAGGCTGGTTTTTGTACTCCTGGTTATAATGCCTTCCACCTGCTCAGTTGTTGCAAGCAGCCCAAAGAGAGAGAGAGAGAGTAATAGCATGAATAGACTCCAAGAAAGTCTATTGCAATATTACAGTGCAAATAAAACACATATTTTCTCTATTGATCCTTAAGGGACACAGCTTGATGATTATGAGCAACCTAGGGACATCCAAAATCAGTCTAAACTGAGGGGTGAGCACCCCAAAACAAACAGGAGAGCAAGTTCAACAAGGAGAAAAAAAAAACCTCAATAAAATGTAGTAACCCTTCTGGTGGAAGTGATGGCCATGAGAAAAGCTAACTTATGTGGTAATAATGTTAAGCAAATGTCCTGAATAGGCTCAAAAGGTTGTAGCACCGACAATGAACAAAACACACAAGGGCGCAAAACTTGAGGGTGGCTGTGACATAAACTTGGACCAATGTGCAAGAAAACTTGTTAATGATTATGCACTTACGTTTGGATGAAGGGACCAGACGAGGGGCAGTCCCGGAGGAGGATCGGGAGTTCCCAGAACAGTGTTCTCGTCTCGTGGCTGATCCGCTGTGAGTGCTAGCCTGTCACGGTTGGGGAGCACAGGGCTGAGCACCGGATGTTGGAGGAAGGGTGGTGTGAAGACACCGTCCGTGTTGCTCCTATGTGGACAGGAGTCAGAGCGGTGAGGGTTGGACGCTTGGTCTGGCTGGATGGTGATCGAGCAGAATGAACATCTGTCATGCAGCTGACAAGACAGTGTTCCGTTCGGGAAGCAGTCCTGTCCCTGAATGTCTAGTTGTAGTGGACGGGAGAAAAACTGTTAAAAGGCTGTGGAGGCCAACGGGTGGTAGGAGTGGAGTTTTAAAAGAGCTCTGTCACGAGACGAGAACACTGTTCTGTGAACTCCCGATCCTCCTCCGGGGACTGCCCCTCGTCTGGTCCCTTCATCCAAACGTAAGTGCATAATCATTAACAAGTTTTCTTGCACGTTGGTCCAAGTTTATGTCACAGCCACCCTCAAGTTTTGCGCCCTTGTGTGTTTTGTTCATTCCAGTCCGCACAGGCCCTCCTCCTGTTTCAAAGGGCAGCACACTGTTCATTCTGGGCCCCCTCCCGAGACCGCTGTTTGTCGTTTTTTTGTAGCACCAACAATGCTAGTTTTAAATCCCACGGTTGAATGAGAATCCTAAGAGTAGGACTAATGTGTGTAAACGTTTATATAAAAGTACAAAGCAGTGATTGATTAGCAAGAGGATGCTGAAAAAGAATGGACAGTGCAGACGCCTGACTCTTGATGGTGATAAGGGCCAAAGTATGTGGAGAAACCCCCCCCCCCCCCCCCCCCAAGCACAC